TGGTGTGAATCAGCTGGCTTTTGTTTTCTTGTAAAAGTGAAACTCTCAAAGGGCTGTGGAGAAGCTTACAAAGTTGCACATGGTGCATATAAGTAGAAGCTGATTTATGGCACTGGGTTTAACTGGGCATTGTTCCATACCCTAGTATGGCCATGGAACAAAGGTGAGCCAAACTGTACTTTCTTCTAGAGCTTTCAGGGCTGACTGAAACTCTGATATTGGAATAAATACTGAATATGAAACAGGCAGACAGATTCTGACTCCAGTCCAGGGTCTGGCTTTATATTATGTACTAAAAACACTTGTGGTTTGGTCCCATGTACAGCATTACTTTGTCTTCAGACAGAACTGCCTGGAGTATTTCTGCTGGAGCAAAGAATAAGTTCACTCAGTAAATCAGAAAGAAACCAGAATTAGATTGTTGCTGCTACAGTGTTTTCACTCTATACAGTTACATCACACCTCATCATGGCTCTGCACAGCCAAAATGCATTGCAGACTACAAGACCAAGACTGAGCAAAGCTCATTGTCTGCACTCATACATTGACTGTACCAGGTTTCGGGGGACTGATAAATTATTTAAGCTTCATGACATTGCAAACAACCATATGGTAGCTGTGTGTGTGTGTGTATATATACACGCACACATATATATATACTGATAAGTATATATAGACAACTAAATGTGCATCTCTCCAATGCTAACTATCTTTAAGTAGTGTGCTTGTCATTATGGTCTTGAACAAAGTAATCTAGTGTAAAAGGGATGGGATGGGGTGGGGAAGAGAATTTAACTGAAAATTTTTAGAGGGTCCCTAAACGATGTATAAGTTGCTGACCTGTGGCAGATAAACTTTCTGGAGGAAGGTTTTTCCATTTGCTGCACCGTACATAACATAGGCTGCAGTTTTGTTGAAAAGGTCTGTTTTGTTGGCTCTCTTTTTTCCCTTTTTAATGGGGAAAAAAGTACATGTAAATAGCCAAAGGCAAAACCTCCAGCCAAAGACATTTGTCTATTTGGCTAAAATGAACCTAAGCCAGGCTACCATTCCCTCCCCCAGAAATCTCTCTTTTTTTTTTTTTTTTTTCTTCAAGGAGGACTATTCGGGTTTTAAAATATTAGGGAGCTAAGCAGAAAGCTTCTTTTCCTGTGTTGCTCAGTCATTCAAATTATATTAAAACTTGGCATTCATTGCTGCCTGTGGCAGCCTTGGTAGCTATATGCTTCCCTGATATATTGCACAGCCACTGCTGCAAGGCTTCTTGGGCAACTGTAGACCTACCAGGTGAAGCTCACTGCTTTAACTCAGCAGAGGTCCCTGCAGGTTTCACTATATGCCTGGGGGGATCCTTCACTTACTGAGGCTGAACAACACAGGGTGTTGTTCCAAATGTAGAATTTGGCAAAGGTAACTTGTCTTCCAGGTGGAATAACAAGTAGGAGCCTTGTGATAAATGAGTAAATTTTGGGTAAATCAGCCTAGGCTGACTGGGCTCAAATGAGTCGTTTGAGAATCCATGGTTGCACTTCCAGTTGCCTCATGAACATCCCACACAACTGGGCATCTGTTTATACCTGAGGTCAGCTAGACAGATTTGCACGGAAGATGTGCAAATGGAAAATAGAATTATCTGAATATGAGAATTCTCATGAAATGTTCTTGCTTAGTAGACTGCCTTATTAGTTGCGGCCTCTGTCCCTGAGGCTTCATGAACGCTCCATTATAGTGCAAGGCTAACAGGTATTCTGATGGCTCATGCTGTGCTTTGGACTGCAGTTTTCACAAATCATTAAGTATATCTGTGACCAGCAATGTGGTCCACCAATAGTGCCCTGAGGTGTTCCTGTCCATACAAGCCTCAGGTTTTCTGCCCCACCATGAGCCAGAGACACCACCAGGTTTGCAGCAGCTGGAAAAGTTTCTGGCCCATGTAAGAAAGATCTCTGGACCCAACCTTGGGAATATAGTATGCTGTTGACAGATAGCAGACCATATGTACATACACATATCTAGGGATGCTTTTTACATGGAGTAAATTCACAATAGGTAGGAATCTGGTCTGTGGTGAGCAACAAGGATTTGCTTCTTTGGAAAAAAGGGCAAAAAGGGCAAACCAAACAAACAAAAAGGCAAACCAACCAAACAAAAAAAGGCATTAAATCAACTCTGGTTTACTCCCTTCTTCCTTCCCTTCCAGATCAATAATGAGATAAAGAAGCAGGATGAGAAGCTAGTGAGACCTGTAACAGAGCAGATGATTGAGTTCACCATTTTGATTGTTGGTGAAAAGTACAGTGAGGAGCTGAAGGATCCAGCTGCTGTGGAGTATCAACTGCTGTCTGAACGATTCATTTCTCAGGTGATTACCTTCCCTAACTTCCTTTTTCCTTTTGCTGACTCTTCAAAGCAATAGTAGAGCAAAGCATTTGTGTCAGGGCTGCCTTTTTCTCATGGGCTGTGCAGAGCCAGCTTAGGGCTTTTGTTGGCTTGAGAGAGGCTGGAAAATACCCACGATGAGAATACACCATTCTGTCAGACATGCTGCCTTTCTGAAGGAGAGGAGTGCCACACATTGTGTGTAGCAAACCAGATGCCAGAGACTCTAGTTTTCTTTTTGCAATTCTGAAATAGCCTGCTATTATTTCTGCAGGCAGTAGAGGTAAAAGTATGCTTTTGGGAGGATCAGAAAATTTTGCTGAACCCCTGAATGGGGACATACTCTAAACAGGATTTTCCTGAGGTTTTGCTCACTTGCTCTCTCTCTTTCCTCCTCTCTCCCTCTCTCCCCTATTTTCGTTTCCTTAATTTACTTTGCTTCATGTTAGCAAAAGAAACTAAGCCAGATGTTATTAATAAATGCAAAACATTTCCACTTATTTTAGTCCTTTTAAAGACCTATTTCTACTGGGGCTAACTTGGACCTTACCAGTCTGTCAGAATTTTTCAGTACCTCTCCCTGTCAGCGTTACTGCAGTAGGGCTTTTAAGGTCACAGAGAAGTGATGAGTTTCATGTTTGCTTCCTGATGTAACTTCATTAGTTCTTAGAGTCTCAGAACTGAAAAATCTTAAATTTAAAAAAAAATTTAACATCTTTCTAGTGACCAGTCTGCCTAGAGTTTATTTCAGTGCTTTCTAATCAAGTTTCAGTTTAAATTTTTCCATAATTACCTGTTTTGAAACTGGGGAGTGAAAAAGAAAATTTGAGGGCCTTAGAAAACCAGCCTGCCTGCGCTCCCAAGTAGAAGGACATGAATTGACTGCAGTTCAGAGCCATCAGCCTGCACTGAGGCAGTGCTGGAAGGCAGCTCAAGTAGTTCAGGTCCAGCACAACATGAACATGGAGTGCAGGCAGAAGGTGTACAGGGCCGTCAGCATCTGCCAGTATGGATATGCTTTGGGTGTCCTACAGAAGCTTAGCCCTGAAATGGGCTATGGGTTATCTTAATGATTACTGTCTATGCAGAGTAGGTCATAGATGGGGAAATTGGAAGAAGTCACAAATGGCAGAACTCATTCCTTATTTCTGATCAGGAGTGACATTTCTTTGAATGAATTGTTGTGCACTGCAATGAGATACTGTCTGATATCTAGGCTGCCAAGGCAACTCTTGTTCCTTATTTATGCCCAGAATCAACAGTGCACTTGAACACATAATAAAACTCCTTCAACCAGTTCTTAAACACATGCTTAAACCCCATTGGAGTCAGTGGGAATGAACTATGGTTTACACTGTTAGGCACAGACTTCAAAAGAAAAATACATAGGTGCATTATACATATGAACATATATGTATGACAATTATAAACTGATGTCCATTGTTTTAATTTGCATGATATAAATAAAGTTACTTGCCCACCAATATACAAATGATAATATACTGCTGTCTCCTAATTTTCCTCTCCCTATGGTTTCAATTTTTAAAAAATTTTGTCTATAATGGTGGTAATTTTATTTCCATCGTTTTCTTGGGGCAGAGACTTAGTCTTTCTTTTCTCTTGGGAGAAGCATCTAGGGTGCTCATCATGAGGCTAATCTTTTCTTTAGCTTTGCTTCCTTCTTAGTCCCACTTAGTTGGGGTTCTCTGTTGAATCCCTTTTAGTGGGGCTAACCCTGGGCCAGATGGGAAAGAGATGTATTCTTCACTGCAGCCAAAAAGCATCACCACAACTGTCACAAGTTGCTAGCGTAGGCTAGACATCTTAATTTTCCTAGTTGTGTGGCCAAGTAGCAATGCCATAGTGTGTTTGTGTGTGTAAGAAATGTCAGATGGGATAGAGTCCACCTGGCACATGGATGTTCCACTACTTTGATCCCTTGCCTGGATTTCTCTGAGCTTGAATAAAGAAGCTCTTGAAAAAACGAAAGTCGGCAGTGCTTTGATTGTTTAGATCTCACCAGAGACAGTTTAAAAATAGGTAGACTGGGGAGGGAAACAAGAATTTTCACAGTGAAAAATAATACTCAACTGGCAAGGATCTTCTGGGAGCTAAAATAAAACCCCAAACCAGCATGAACCTTCAACATTATGTATCTTGGTTTTGTGTCATGTAGCACAGTTGGCTGTTGAATTAGGCCTGGATGTGTGGCCATTTTGCTATCCCTGGTTGTCCCTTTTAGAGTAGCACTGCCAATCCCTCCCAAGCCCTTTGGATGTTTAGGGCAGTGCAGGTGAGCTATGTTTTGCACTATATAATGCATTGGTACCTCAGTGGAGTCTAGGAGACCCCTTTCCTATGTCAGCCTCTGCTCTGCTTGTTTAAGTTGCTAGGGTTCAGGGCATTTTCCTGAATTCTTTTTAATCCAAAGTGGTTTGGGAGGTGATGGAAACTCTTTGGACAGAGAAGGGTTTGTGTTGTGCAAATAAAAGAATGTAATCTGCTATGGGCAGTGCAGATTTCTGCAGTCTTTTTGAATTTCCCTCTTTTGAAAGTTTCTATGTAGTTCTTGGGGAATGCTGGATGTTGTTCTTCATCCTTTTTATTCTCCCTTTTCTGTTCCCTTTCTAATAATGAAAGAATGTCACAAAAACTACTCTTCTGTAAAGCAAGAGAATATTAAACCTTTTTTCTCCTATTTGATATAACAGCTCAGTTTTGGAAAATACTGAAAACACTTCTTGATTTTTCACCACATGAGTAGGATGAAGGAAATATCAACCATTTTTCTCCTATTCGATATAACAGCTCAGATATAGTTTTGGAAAATACTGAAAACACTTCTTGATTTTTCACCACATGAGTAGGATGAAGGAAATATGTATTCATTTTTTGTTTTTCTTGATTTTTTTTCTTTTCCCCTCAAAATAGATTAAAAGCGTATTTGAAGGGCTACCTGGATACAAAAACATCCTTGTCCTGGATTACAGGTAAAAAGATACTGATGCATGTGTGATGATTGAAACTGGTCATATATGAGAGTGCAATGAGCTTACATGATGCTTGGAAGAAAGTCAGGAGTGTGCATGGGATGTATTAACCAAAGGACAAGTGCTTTCATATTTGGTACCTCTATATACAGCAGCTAAAAAAGAAATACTGAACTGTATGTAAATGCAAATATATTCTTTTTTAATTCTGGCATTCACCAGAGAATCTCACATGAAATGTTTGCTGTGATTTAAAGACAGGACATTCTTGTTCAAGATTCTATCCTAAAATTAAAAGATGTATTAGAGTCTGGTACTTCTTCAGTACTGTTGATATCACCAAGTATTAAACAAGGAAGAACACAGAAACCTTTTTGGAAAAAAATGTTTTGTGTTTAAGCTTCTTTTTCAAATTCTTAATGTTAATTTGGGATGACTCTAAAGGTTGGTGTTTAGGCTATGTAAAGGTCTTTCTTGGATCAATAGAAAAGTGGATGAATCATTTGATAAATTATATTCAATGTTTTCACTCTCTTTACTCCTATAAATATATTTTTCTTAAGACTGATTTCCTCAAATCGATTTGTGCATGGGAATGATATTTTAAGTTAATTTGTTAAGTTAATGCATCAAGCATCTGATGCCCAAGTTTTGGGGTGCATGGGTCACAAACTGTGATTTTTCATGAATGGACCAGATATAACTTTCAGAATCTAATGGGACCGTTCATAAGTTAATCTAAATTGTGTTTTCTCTGAGACTATAAGCCATGTTTCTTAGGATTTATTGCCTGGGATATTTTAGCTAGAATACATGCAGGTAACAAAGCAGCTATAATGAGAAAGTTTTTGTGATTGGAGCTCTAGATTGTATTCAGTTTCCAGCCTGGAAGGTAGCAAAACCTTCCATTGGTATTTGCAGTCTCATACATTTGCAAGATCTTGGTTCGTTTGAGAAGATAAGTAAAAAGTTGGTATTTCTGGCAAAGTACCATGTGCTCTGCTGTGCATGACAAAAACCTGTGTTTGTAAACTAAACCTTTAGGTAGAATTAGTTAACCTTGATCTTCTTGATACTGACAGCAGTTCAACTGCATTATTTGCAGTAGGTTGAGGTGGCTCTGCTCTGCTGAGATTGATAGGAAATATTTCAGTTCAGAAAAAGCAGAACACTTGGTTAAGTAGCAGAATAACTACGCAACTGAAAGTATTTTGATGTGCTTTTTAACTGCATTGTTTGCAGTAAGTTGAGGTGGCTCTGCTTTGCTGAGATTGATAGGAAATATCTCAGTTCAATAAAAGCAGAACACTTGATTAAGTAGCAGAATAACTATGCAACTGAAAGTATTTTGATGTGCTTTTCTAAAATTGTTGTGCTCTGTGGAATACCAAAGCAAATTTGTTAAAGTTATAAGATTTAAAGGGAATTATGACATTGATTTAACAGGTTTTGCTGTTCTGTTTTTTTTCTATATTCAGCCCTTCTGAGGAAGACAGGTAAAGACAACTTTTTTATAAATATTGTCATAATACAGATGGAAAAACATGTTTAGCTGGAAGTCAGTGTTTTGGGGGTTTGTAGATATGGATCCAGAACAAGATAGTTATCCAGCATAAATATGGGAGGGTGTTCTACCCGAAGCTGCAAGTAACTGAACTGTTTCAATTACAGATAAACTTAATTTGCTTATTTAAGTCCTAATAATAAAAAATCACTCAGGGAAAATCTTGAACACGAGTCAGCTACTGGGGAAACTTGTGTATAGGAGTTTCTTCTGTGAAGAAAACCAAATTGCTTAGTGATGGCTCAAGGTTTTCATGCTTTGCAACAAATTCTTCAGTAGATATGGATGACTGAAATTAAAGTAAGTAAGAAACTCACAGTTCTCTAGCAAAGGCTTAGCTACTTCAAGGCCAGAGGTGCTGCATATCCTACCAGAACTTTCATAAACTTTCTTCAGCAGAACATGGGATCAGTATGTACTTGCTTTTCATCAGATATATGCAAGTTAAGAAGCCAAATTTTCCGTCTTTAGTATCTTAAGAACTTCACAACACAGAAAATGAACTACAGCTTTAAAATACTAGATGTATTATTTTCTTTTGTGTATATCTCAGCAAAGGCATAGCCAGTTTCCACAAAAACATTTCAAGAGAATGAGCATTTTCATTTTAGAAGATTAGAACACATAAACCTCTTCACAAACTACAGTGACTTAAAGCTATCCCTTAGTACTGTGCACTTCCGCAGGCTAAGATGCATGCAAGTTTTCACAGAGGCTATGTTCCAGGCTCCACATATTTAGCCCTTTCCAGACAGATATTGGTGTTGTAGTTATTAGTTAGAAATTATTAACAGCAACTGTCAGCAGGGTTATATTAAATCTAAGTGTTACTTTTGAGGAGCATACTGTGTTCCATCTTTGCTGTGCCTTTTCACTACTATTGTCCTTGTTTATTTCCTCTGATGACCATCAGTGCCCATGGTGAGCCTGTGGTGCCTTCATTTCAATGGCAGAGCCAGCAATAAATGTCCAGCACGGTCCTGGTTGTAGTCAGTGTGTTTGCAGAATATGTCTCTGTTGTTTCTACCACTGGGGCTTGAAAGACTTCTCTGAACAGAACCATTATTTTACCAATTCCTGCCCTGTGGAATGAGGAAAACCTGTATTCTGAGCACAATTTCCAACACTTCATAGGTTACTTAACTTTCTTGCAGTGTCCTGTGTACAGCCAAAATATGTTATATTTTCTAAAGTTCCCTTGTGCTTATGCCCAGTTTATGGTAAATCTGATCCCTGCCTACGCCGTCATGTGGAAAAGGACATCCAGATGTATTCAGGAAAAGAAAATTAAGAAAATGGACAAGAGTTACTATGAAAAAAAGCTTAAGTTGTACAGAGATACAAAACTGAGTTATAGGATAAATGATCAAATTAGTCTAGATAAATGTTCCCAATTATAAGCTGTATTAAATACCATTTTATTTCTATTAAAGACATTCTTTCAAACAGGTTGGCACTGCATGGTGACAGTGATCAGGGCTCTCACTTGCCACTGTAGATTGCTACTGTATACAGCCTGTTTTTCCTATCTGTTTTCATACCTCAGAGCCATTCCCATAATTGGTATGACCTTAAAAGCATCACTCACACCACTGCATGCTGGTGGCCCACTAATAATGCTGGCAGAAAGCCAGTGTTGTGGTCTGCTTGTGGTCTGTCTACCATTCACTAGTAGAAACACAGAGCTGGGAGCAGATCAGGTGTCAGCTTTTGGTAGCCTTTTCCTTAAGAACTTTGCAGTGTTGGAAAGCACAGGCAGACACAAGTGTGAAAAGAATGAAATATTTTTTATTTAGAATCCTTTAACGTCACATATTTTTATAGTAACAAGGGTTTAAATATTTTTTATTTTGAATCCTTTAATGTCACATATTTTTATAGTAACAAGGGTATTGACACAGGCTCTTGGGAAAAAATATTATAGTTTGCTATATTTTTGGAAAACCTTGCATTCTCACCTGTGTTTTCTTTCTCTTTGTACAACTGAAGTGGGGTGGAAGTTCACTATGCTGTTACCTTTGATGGAAAAGCCATCAGCAATGCCACCTGGGATTTGATTAACCTTCAATCCAACAAGGTGGAGGACAACTCCTTTATGGGCATAGAGGATAATCCAACAGTTGTGTACACCATCAGTGATTTCCGAGATTATATTGCTGAAAATCTCCAGAAAAATGCCTTGCTTGATAACATTTCCTTGTCTTTGGACCCTAACTCTCTCCAGCTTACTAATGGTAGGTATTAAATATGATGCATTGGTGGGTCGCACATCTGAATTTTTATGAAATAAGTATCAGATGAGTGAATTATTCAGCTCCCCTCTGACTAATTAAAAAGAAAGAACAAAACTTACTGTGTTGTAACTTGTTTTGCTCTGATCTTAACCAGGCCAAGTGACTAGCAGTAGCAGCCCAGTCTTGATCCATCAGCTTAGTCTATTTTTTAAATTTATGTTGGCCTTGAGTAGCGCAAAGGAAATACACAGGTTATTGTTGACTATTCAATGATTCTGATGGAGGTGACCAAAGTGTGCTGTCACCCCTCTGTTGGCATATTTCCTCTGTACTTCCTGTCAGTGATCTGGGGGCATTTCCAGAAAGAAAAATCTCTCCGGCAAACTTTTGGAAAAGATTTTACTCACACATCTGAGATTGGGGGAGGGGGATGTTTCAGTCAGTTTTCTCACATGACTTCCTCATGCTTTTAGATCACAAGTATTTATATTTCCACAGTGAAAGAAATACTCCACCCCACATCAGAAGACTCATCCTGGATTACTGAGCATCCAGTTGTGCTAGAGCGCCCAGAATTTGATGTGAGTATGGATCTGAGCAGTGGTCTTTGGACACATTTAAACAACTTAATTCAGCAAGGTGGAATTGTAGCCAGCACCCAGAGCTTCTCTATCTTGTTGTTCATGCAGAATAAGTAGTAATGAAGGCACAACTTATATTGGAGTAAAAACTGATGGCATCTCTCATATGACAACTTTGGTATCTGTTGCACAACAATTTTCTGTTGATCATCTTATTTAGACTGTAAACTGCTCTAAAAATATGATTCTTCCTTCCATGATACTACCTTTCTTTGGAAAGCTAGAAATAGATGTAAACCCTAAAGCTGGCTGCTAGAAGAAATAAAATGCTAAGTTTCATATGCTCCTTTTGTTACTGTATTGCTTTCACAGAAAGCGCTCAGTTCGGTTTTAAAATTATGTTCATCCCCTCAATGGCAGCAAGAGAAACAGAAAGATAACAGGCAGTGGTTTCTTTTTTTTTACCTCTTGAAATTGTAATTATCTCCTCTGATTACCTCTGGAACAATCCAGGACATAGATTGAAGTTTCCTGTTCAAGTGGAGACTTTGTATTCCTAACCATGTCTGTACAGTGCAAAGGGGCTTTAAGCAGAGGCACCAAATTAGGTGCCAGTGACACTGAGTTAATTGGTTCTGCCAACAGCAAGAACTTCTGAATGGTGGAGCATTGACTGGGCAGTAGGTTACTGCTCTGCAGAAGGTTTCTGTAACACAGATGTCCCTTCCACAAAGAAAGGAGCTCAGATTGTGCCATAAAATCCAGGTCCAGCTATGCTGGATGATAGTTTCTCACTAAGTCCTTTATGAGATAATGTGAACACAGACACAATTTCAGGCCAACATCTGAAATCTTTATGTAAGCAAAACTTGCAGTCACTTCACAGAACCCAAATCTTGTTAGAATGGACACAGATGTAATATTCTTAATTGCATGCCAGTTTTCCCTGAGTTTTAAAAACTAATCAATGATGTCTAAAATGCAAACTTGTATGGATTTGCCATAATGGCTTACACATGGTGTGGATAAACATTTAAATTACCTTTCAGGAAAGGACTTTATTAGAGCTATCTAACTAGTTTAAAACATTGCAGATGTTTATTTTAGTAAGACAAAGGATTCTGTGATCTTTACATTCTATCTGTGCATACTCTGACAGATGTGCAAGCAACAATATTTTAGAGTAGCAGTAACTTTGCAATATAAATTTTAAACCAGTTTTAGGGAATAGTATGTACAAGAAAAAACTGTGGAAATGATACCTTTCTAATCATGGCCTACGAACAAAGTCATCTATACCTTAAGTCAAGAACTCTAATTATGTAAAAGATATTGAGTATATCCACAAACCAGCTGTGCACAATCTGCAGTACACAGGTAATTGGGGGAGCCACTTCAGATAAATTTGAGAAAATCATAAACATGGATAAACAGTAAGCAACTGATCAATTACTTCCACAGATGTCAAACTTTATGGTTCAAGTAGATACTCTAAAGTAGAACTGTTACCTATGGGAAAGAACTTTGCTATGATTTGTCTTAGCTGATTTGAGACTAAGTTGGATTTGTATTATCAGACATACTCATGACATAATGTGGGACTGTCATGACTTCACCAGCTAATTGCTAGCAGATGGTACCATTAATTCTTTTCTTTGAATTTTACAGCTCTCTTAAAAAGTAAAACAAAGGAAAGTCTAGTATTGGAATCCATATTTTCTTGTTATTTCTGTTAAGTTGTAACAGGTAGAATGCTCTGGCTTGCTGAATACAATGCTTTTCTGGCAGCAGAAAATGGAAAATCAGGGAGGGGGCTCTGTGTTTCCAGTCATCTGTCATATTTGTAAGCCTTTCAAAAGACATAAGCGAAAACCAGAATTTGCCAATATGATATTAAACTTGTTAATATAATATATTGCACTGTAACAAGAATCTTTGAATAATGTTAGTTGTCATAGGAACTTCTATCCACATTCGAATAAATGATGAAGTGCAATCCCTGGCAACTAAATGCTCACATAAAAAAATGTATTGAGAAGCTATTGCTGGTAGTCCTTATTCATTCTTTATGGAATTTATATGCGTAATTTGTTTCTAATTTTGTACAGTAACTGTTTTTACAGCTTTATTTATAGTCATCAGTTTTGCCAAAAAAATATAATTGCTGGAGCACATGTCTACATGGTATATATACTTTTCAACTGATTGTTACCATATAAATTAAAAACTGTGAGGAGATTGTGTTGGCCTAACAACTGGCATTTTAAATTGGGATCAATATAGGTAAACAAGTAATTTAATAAAAATATTTTAACTGGCCTGTTTCCAAAGCATTCAAATGCAGTTTGAATGAAGCTGAAAATTTAATTCATCCATGTTTTAGCCAGGAGTAAAATTTCAAATTTAAAAGTGTTTAGATTCTTCCTGTTATTC